CTAAGAAAAATACATATTCTAAATGTTTCTCCCACTCTAAGACGTATCGTAGGTTTTTTTCCCTAGCTCCCAGCAGTGGACTGGGTGCATGGGCAGTACAATTCCATAATTGCTGTGATAGGTCAGTTGGCTCTTGATCAGTGCCCCAGGACCCTCAGAAACCACCCACCTCCTCTGCCTACATCTTCTGCTTAGTCCTGAGTGTCCTGAGTGTGCCAGGGTGGGAGAATGGTGAATTTTCACTTTGTGAGGTAATCATCACTTTGCTCAGTGAATGTGATGAAACTTAATTTTGCAAAGAATACCCAGTCACATGCACGTTCTTTTTTTAGAAAGAAAAAAAAATATTGTTTTCAGTGGAGTAGGATATTACCCCTGTAAACAATGTGCAGGTTGTCAAGTCTCTGGAAATAGGAAAAAACATTGAATGTTTCAAATCTAATAGTAGTGTAGGTACATATACTATTAGACAATTCATATCTTGCATCACACAGTTTGTCATCTATTTGCTGGAGTGCCCATGTGGTCTCCAGTATGCAGGGAGGACGACTAGACCTCTAAAAATCAGAATAGGTGAACATATAAATAACCTCAAAAGAGGTGACATCAACCACAATGTGTCCAAACACTTAAACTTTTTCCACAATAAAAACCATAAGGGTCTGAAAATTGTGGGAATAGATAAGGTGACCAAACATTGAGAGGGAGGATGCAACTTAAAGAATAAAATATCCCAAAACAAGTCCAAATGGATCTTTGTCCTTAATACTCAAAGACCAAAAGGATTGAATATTGATTTTGATTTAAATTGCTTCCTCAATAACAGCTAATACACTTATCTGTAGGCACTTTCTATTTCTATTTTTTTTATAATTTCCCTTTTCTTATACATTTTAAATCTCTCAGCGAAGCTTTCCGATGTATCCTGAAACACTTGTTTTATAAGCGATACAACTTGTAAGCTATCTGCCTCTTGTAGCCTCCATGAAGCAACTCTCGCATGCCAACTTCACTGGTAATGCCAGATTGTAACAAAGCCAGCAGCCTTCCAGGCATGCTTGGTGATAGCAACATTTTTTCCTTTGCATTGACTCATTTTGGCTGTTGCTGGAGGTGAATTGTTCCCGCCTGTTGCTGTACCGCTGGTGAGAGTAACGTCTCTTCCTAGATAATGATCTGTATCTGCCGCACGATGCTGATCTTCGTCTGTCTTTGGAATGGCATGATGATTTTCTAGCAGACCTGGCAGGACTACACACAAGAGCAGAGACAAATAACAATACACCATAGACAAAAACATAAAAATTTTGCTGGAGGGGAATTGGGGTTGCCTGTTGCTGTACCGCTGGTGAGAGTAACGTCTCTCCCTAGTTAAAGATCTGTATCTACCAGATGATGTTGATCTTCCCCTATCTTTGGAATGGCGTGATGATTCTCTAGCAGACCTGGCAGGGATATACACAACCGCAGAGGCAAATAACAAAACACCATAGAAATAAAAATTAAAAAGAGTAAAAGACACTGGACGCTTTTGCCTACCTTCTCTAAACTCAATGGTGTCCGTAGGGTTTGCTTTTCCTGATGGTATCCTGGCAAAAGATGGAAAAAACAGCACTAGGACAGCGTGCCACACTGCAGCCCTGACCTAAACAAATTCTCGGAGACCAAAAATGTGGGCAACCAAAATACTCAACTTAGAGATGTAGCAGAAATATAAATGGAGAAATAATGTCACCAGCACACCATACGAGTAATTTAGCAACAGTCCATTTAATGACACATTGCCATTCCATGTGTCATTAAATGGACTGTTGCTAAATTACTCGTATGGTGTGTTGGTGACATTATTTCTCCATTTGTGTTAAATGGAGAAATGATGATGGCGTGATGATTCTCTAGCAGACCTGGCAGGGATATACACAACCGCAGAGGCAAATAACAAAACACCATAGAAATAAAAATTAAAAAGAGTAAAAGACACTGGAGGCTTTTGCCTACCTTCTCTAAACTCAATGGTGTCCGTAGGGTTTGCTTTTCCTGATGGTATCCTGGCAAAAGATGGAAAAAACAGCACTAGGACAGCGTGCCACACGAACCGCAGCATGTTCGCCATTACTGAGACACTGTAGAAATGCCTCAGAATAGAGCCGCCCATCCCCCCTGTATGTGCCTTAAGCCACATAAACCTAGAGGGAGGAATTACATCATTATCCTGTGACTGGAGTGCACCCTCTGCGCTCCAGGCCATGTGTTCCAGCAGTTCTACCGTTTGGCATCCAAAATAGGTAAAAAGAAGGGCATTGCCACAAACTGCCGAATGTCCCGAAGACCAGCAGTAGGTACTCCCCTTCACCACCAGCATTTAGCAACGCTATCCGGGCACTGCGCCCAAATCCATAAAACTTCCACAGGCAGACTGCCAAAGCTTTTCCTCAAGCAGATAGGCAACCACAATCCTCACCACAGGGAGGAAGAAAGAGGTGCTGGGAGAAGTCTCAAATGTATTACTTACATCCTGCCAGAACAGGGAGGGTGGGTCATTAACCCTTGTGTGTGCTGACATGTAGCTGTCAGGGAAAAATACATTGAATAACGCATTAATGATTACAGAGCAGCATTCTTGTGTGTTTTATATCTGTCTAGAGTTTAACTATAACGTGTATGTAAAGCTCTAGTGCTTGTATGAAAGGGTCTGTATACCATGACTTACTAAAATTCCATAGCAGTACAAAATTGCAACTTCTGATTCCGTATTGTATATGAATGGGGGGGACCGACTACCCCTCCCATGAAAGAATAGCTGCCCTTCTTTTCACCCAGTTTACTGTGAATCCCAATGACTAAACCCTAAACTAATTCTCGGAGAATCAAAATGTGGACAACCAAAAGACTCAACCGAGAGAAGCAGCAGAAATATAAGCACAATTTTATTGTAACATAATTACCTTTTTAATTAGAACATTCGTGGGTGCGTGCAAGAGAAGGATGAGGGAGAGCAAAGTTTCACACCCCAGTAGTAGAAGTATATCTTAGAGCAGGGGTCAGCAACCTTTTACACACCAAGTGCCATTTTTGAAACCATGGTACAACCGAGTGCCAGTGAACAATAGCACGCTTTAGTGTTAGTTACAGTTACATTTTTTCACTCATGGCTGTACTGCTAATAGAAAGGTAAACTCACTAATTATTTTAACGTGTTTACCTCGCCAGTAGCAGCACAACTATAAGGGAAAAAAATTGAATAACTGGTGCACACACAAAACATGTTCATATTTACATGTGCTAAAAAGTAAACTGGACTTTTTTAGTGTGATCACTGTGTCTTTATTTCATGGTTCAGTTGTGCAATCTCTGGCCTGTAGGCTGACCTCAGACCAGCACCAATGCATACTTTGAATGCCAGATCTCAGAGGTCTGCAATGCAGTGGTGCTGCTGGCTAGGCTTCGCGTGCCAGGCTGGGCACGCGTGCCGGGGGTTGCTGACCCCTGTCTTAGAGTGACCAAACCATATCCAGGTATGCAAGAGCCAGGAAGTGGGAGGCTTGTGAGAAACAATTTTGCTCTCACAATAACTTATGTAAGAAAATAATTTATTAATCACAAAAGATTAAAAACAGAATGTGTTGTCACAGTTACAAGACTTGTTACAATATTATCCATGATACAGATGATGAAACAATTTGTTGCAATGGTCTAGTTATTCATGATTTGTTGAACAAATAGAGTTTTTCTTTGGATACCCCAACATGGTTTGACTTAATAAGGCTTCCTCAGGAGGATATTAATCCTAAAGAAAACTGCAGCTTGGTATGGACCAGACAGCGAGAAGGCACCCACATGGAGAAGAAATACACCAAATCCTTCAATCTCTGACAACAGAGGGGAAAATCGTGTCAGGAAGCAGATCACAACAGGAGCAGGACAGGAGAAGGAGCTTGCAACATTGGAGGAGCATGTTTGGACGATATTAAGCTGTCTCACTTGTATTAGAAAACACGATTTGTTCCCTCCTTCTGTCCTGCTTAGTTAGACCTGCTTTGGGTCTAGGAGTCAGGTGAGCAGTATTCCTAATGATATGGTGGTGGAGCTATCTGGTATTGGTCACATCTGTGAAATTTGCATGATATTATATTGAAGATTATTGATTGACCGTTTGAAAAAAAAGTAAGAAAAAACTATTGCTTAAGAAGAAAAATAACTGAACTGTATATCATAGGTATTGTTTTATTACATCAATCTGCACAGAACTGCATACAGATATATCATTGGTGGAGGCATCCAAGAATTGGTTGCATGGGCGTTTTTTTGTAACTTTATGCATATAGACTTTGATTTTATTTTATACGATTTTTTTCACTGTTGATATTTATTGCACAGTCACTTTATTATATAATGCGCAGATTGTGAACACACACAGATCCTAAAATTTAGTAGGGATTAGAACACGGCACGTTTTGTATATGATATATGAGTAGACTAACATCTATCCTAATTCTGGACCTGACCGATTTTAAACCAAACAAAAACCGTACTACCGCTGTATGCCGACTTGGAATCAAACCTATATATATAAACATTATAATACTCAAAATCTCAGTGTAAAGGCCTCCATAATTAATACAAGTTAGCTCTCACAAATATCAGTATGCGCTACAATACGCCAATTCATCAGCACATGAAGTCCCTAAACAATCACACAAGATAAATACTCGTTTTTATTTTGCACATAAACAAATACAATTTAGCATTCAAACAGTCACACTCTAGCTAAGCAAATAGCTATAATAGAACTATTAAGATATAATTCCCATCATTTGTGAAATGTATTAAATCATTCCAGAACAGAGGTGTAGGAAAAGCCCTCTAATTTGGAATGACTGAAAGAGAAACCATGCATTTGAACAATAAGGTTACCCATGGAAGCATTAATTCTTTATTCTTATTATATATAAGGCCCTACATTTTTTTTTAATCAGACCTCCATAGCAAACGAGATGTCGGTTATGAAAATACAGAAGTGGTAGAGGGGGATTGCCTACTAATCATAGATCAGATTTGATTTTAAATAATATTTCCCCCATATCATTGCCTCCTAAATAGATAAGGACACCAGACAATGAATACATCTGAAAAAGTACAGATATCTTGATTAACTAAATTTCTCCAAATGCATTCCCCGTGTACCACTTCATAGCACCTGAACCTCTTCAGAAAATAATATAAGGTTTTCATCTCCTTTATCCTACTGCCCTCTCAAATGCTCAGTATATGTATTTGTATAAATGTCTATTTATCCAGGCTCTATTTGGATTCCGTTGGCAGTGTTGCATCTTGAGGTTCAGTAGCTAAAGGCATCATATCAATACAGTAGATCGGCCTTTGTCTTTGTTTCTCCTTTTAGTTTCTTTCATATTTCTCTAGAAAAAACAAAAGGAGTATCTGAGAACTTCTTATCAAATATCCTGATCTTTTAACATGCTGCTATAACATAACACATAATCAATTTAACACAGACAGGAAGGCTCCCAAAATGACCCCAATCATTTTTAAATCTTCCACCAGGAATTTCTTAAAACTTTTTAATACCTTTAAACTAGGGATGTCCCGATGCCACTTTTTCAGGCCCAAGTACAAGTACTTCCCCTCATGTACTTGCCGATACCAATTACCGATACTTTTTCTTAACGGGACAGGTGACTTTAAATGATCCATAGTACAACTACATGTTATGTACTATGGATCATGATTTAACCTATTCATGTTAGCAGGGGAGAATTTTAACTCTATTGCTGGAGTGTAGTGGAGGTGTGTGCTGTATATATGTACTACATATACATTACACACGTCCAGTACACTATAGCAATAGATTTACAGCCAGCACCGTCCCAGCTTCCCTCACTCACAGTTTCACTCCGATCACTGTTGCCTCACGCGGTGCCTCTTGTAGTTGGCGCTGGGCAGGATCGCTGCATCGCGTCTCAGTGCTCAGCTTGGGAGAGGCGCTCGTAATTCTGCCCTGCTAACATGAAAAGGTTAAATCATGATCCATAGTACATATACAGTACACATGTCCAGTACACTGCAGTAATAGAGTTTCAATTAGAGTTGTATTAGCTAGCTCCACACTGAGAATATGATTTATCTACATAGATTGTGCTGCATGAAAGCAGACACTGTCACCACAGTGCTGCTTCTAGAGCTTGAGGAGGAGAAGAGAAAGGTGAGACGTAGGTTCTGGGTCCTCCCAGTGATTGATAATTGGGATGAACAAGGCCAGTTTTGGGCCATGTATAATCATATGCGTGACCATGTGAGTTCATATGCTCTTTTTTTTTCAGGACCCAGAGTTACATTTATAAAATAACATTGTAATCAGCATGCTGACTTACCTACACATTTCGAGGATAGGTATGAGAAGTGACAGCTCATTAGCATGCACATATTCACCTGGGGCTATTGCTGCTGCTCCGCTTCTGTGTTGTCTCACTTGCTTCCTATAGCATGCAAAGGCATCTGTTAGGTTTTTCCACTTAACATTTATAACTCGTACTGCACAAAAATGTTCGCTCTCTCTTTTCTTAGGTACTTAGCCACGGGACATACATTGGAAAATCTACACTATTCTTTCTTGATTGGAAAATCCACGGCCAGCTGCACTGTTTGTGAAATTTGCTCTGTGATATGGGATGCTTTGCATGACGTGATGATGGGAAAACCCAGGAAGGAAGAATGGGTTAATATTGCACGTCTTTTCTACAAATGTTGTAACTTTCCCAATTGTGTTGGAGCAATTGATGGCAAACATATCCATATAATAAAGCCCATTGCCAGTGGAAGTACATTTTTTAATTATAAAAAGTATTTTTCATTTGTTCTACTGGCAATTGCCGATGCAAACGATTGCCTCAGGTACATTGATGTCGGGTCCTATGGCAGTAGTTCTGACTCCAGTGTTTTTGGCCACTCCATTTTTAAACAAATGTTACATGAAAATCAGCTTAACCTGCCAGATAACTCCCCGCTGACTGGAACCACAGATCCTAAATTGCCCTATGCTTTTGTGGGGGATGAGGCCTTTGCCCTTGGGAATCACCTTATGAGGCCCTATTCTACAAGAGGATTGACCCTCGAGAAGAGAGTGTTTAATTATAGGCACACCAGAGCACAAAGAATGGTGGAGCGCACCTTTGGAATACTCTCCTATAAATGGCATTTTCTACATATTGCTGTGAACTTGAATCTGCAGAATGCCATTTCTGCTGTGAAGGCGGCATGTATTCTGCACAATTTTGTGAGGCACCGTGTTTGGTTCCCGTTCGATGATTCCATCTATCATACATTGGAAAGGGCAAATTGGGCTGCAAAGCGTGGAAACACATAGGGATCAACCATAAGGGACCAATTTGCCTCCTACTTCATGTCCCCATCAGGCAGTGTTCCATGTCAAATGCAGGCAGCTGAGGAGTATGCTTAGAAATGTTCCCCAACAGAAAAATATGCTGGTTTTGTGCTTTGTGAAACTGTTATTAATAAAATTAGTCAAATGGTGTTAAGTTGCTATGTTTTCATTAAAATATATTATATGATTTCTAATTTAGTATTGTATTAAAAACCTTTTTAGGTGTAACCCCCATCACCTTTTGTGAGGTGGCAAAGCGAACTTAGCTTGGCAATGATACCACTGCAATGTGGGCTAGCCAATGGAGAAGCACTATGGGTGTATGTGTCTCACCAATAACTTGTCTTTTCCTTTGGTCAGTGGTGCATGCTGGGTGAGGGTATATATGCTCTAGGGAATTGCCATGTGCTCTGTCTGACTCCATGTGCTAGTTTGGGCTCCAGCCTTCCCCAAGGCTAGGCCAGGGGTGTTGGCTCTCAAGTGTGGAAAGAGTTTCCTTAAGTCCACAGTTCTTACAGAGGCTGATGCAAGCTGACTAAGAAGGAGAATCAAAGAAGCTGATGCCTGATACTGAGGTGGACCTTAGGAGCAAGCTTGGTGTCACCCTATGGCTGGATAACAGTGAGTATGGAGTATGCCTATTTTTGCTACAGATGTCTCAAGCCAACCCCCTCTCCTAGTTCCAAGAATCAGCATAATAATTACAGTCTGCACTTCAGTATGCTCTACTATGAAGCTTTGTGGTACTTTATTGGTGAAGCGGGTTCCTAACATTCCCTAGACAACACTAAAAATTGCCCACGGAAGGGACCTCTATTCTACACGATTCTCTGCGCCTCTTTGGGGTGCGTTACATATGTATGACAATAGTTTAATTTTCAATAACATGGTGAGGGTGCTTTTCTGGGGGGGTACCCCTGTAAAAGCACCAAACAAGGGCCTCTTCCACCCAACCCTGGCTCAGTGGTTGTGGGGGTCTGTGGGCAGGGGGGCCTATTTGCATCTGGGTGCCCCCCTTTGCTAAAGGGGGGTGACAAGCCCCCCTGCCCACAGACCACCGGGTTACGATTATGGGGAAGAACACTTTCTGTTTTGTCATGCATGCATTATCATAAATGCAGCACATGCACATGCTGACCTTTGGAAGCTTTGTTGGAGCTGCTAAAACTGCCCCAGTCATGAGGCCACATCTGTTTGCAAATCCTGAGCCAAGCTGTAGTCCTTCTTCCATGGTGCTTGTGCTGTGGGTGACGAGTATCATATATAAGCCTTTCTTCCCTCACCAGATAAATGAAAGTCTCGCTCTCAGATGACAGGAAAGTGTTGTCCTCCATGGCAACAATGCATGTAAGAGAAGTGGGTGGCTCCCAGGAAGGGGACAGGTTTTCTCACTGTAAAAACTTTAATTTCTGTGCAAAAGGGACACTTGTGTAGCGCGACATCGCGCTACAATGTTGCGCAATGTCGTGCAAAAACGCCAGTAATGAGCGACATTGAGTTATACCATTGAAGTCTGTTGGGGCCAAGTTGAGAAAAATCGGCCAAAAAATAGCTCATGTTCAAGCTACAAGCTTCAGCTACAAGCTACAAGTGACATTGAGCTGCAAATTGTGAACACCTCCACTGAAATGCATTGGAAGAGCTACATTGAGATACACTGAGCTTCATATTAGAACAATTTTTGAGTGGAAAATACGCTACAAAACGCTCAGTGTGAATGGGGTCTTAAGGTTGTTCTCACAAGACAAGGGAATGGTTGCCGATGGGGAAGTCAATCCCCAGTAACAGAGTAAATTTAGATTTAGAAAGAGCACATTAGAGGAATTTTGTAAGGCCCAAGTGAAGTCTCCCACATTTTTATCTTTATCTCTTTTTCTTGTGCCCCTACAGGTTATGATGAGTTATTGATTTGTGATAGGCGATGCCTTAAAATTACTTTTTCTCTAAATGTGAATATGCTGCTTCTTGCACTCATATCGCGGTGCCCTATACTGGTCTAGCTGAGTAACAGTCACACCCCTCAGCACAAGTGTCCTCAAACAGACTTGTATTGCAGGGAAGAAGAGAGGTTGTGTCTGAGCAGGTCTGTTATATTATAGAGAGCACTGAGTCTTTTCTTAGAATGACACAGTCATATTTATATACTCTTTACTACTGTAATAGAAAAGTTTAGGTATGACTAGAACAATTAGTGTTGATAGTACAGTTTCAATTTGAATTCATATCTGGAATGTGACATGTCTAAGATACATAAAAATGTTAATTACTGGAAAAAAGTAAAAACTATTACAGGTTGTACATCAACGACTCTTCTTTCACAGCATTATGTTTAATACTGCAGTACAGCTGCTCAGTAACAGTAGACAATTCACGCAAATCTTTACCAGGAAAGAAAACCAGAGCAGCAGTATTTTTGAATGCAAACTTTTTATTGGGAATGAAATACATTACAAAGAAGAGATTACTTCCTGGGATAACCCTGAAGTAAAAATCATGTCTCTGTGGGCTACACAGATTATACAGGGAATTAAAGTATCTTCCAAGAATAAAGTGATGGTGTTATGTCAGATTAAGGTGAGCATTTTGTACATGAGCAGGCAGTGTGGACTTCTACCATTTCAGAGAAATCTTCAGGTTTGTCTAGGTGTGTCTGTCTTTCAGCAAGGTCCAGAGATGATTCTATAGGGGAGAAGACACAACATACATTAGACTTAATGAAAGGAAAGTGTTGGGTAGAAACAATGGGTTTGAAGCAACAAAATGTTGTATTCATAGATGTCTCAAATGAACTATTCAGATTCAAATGTTTATTTTCCAGTACAGGTTTCTTTTATGTCTGGTCCTGACATGTATTCTCTTATAGATGTCTGTAAAGTTTCTCATTCATCCAGGTCATCATGGTATAGCTAAAAGTCGTCAGTCACAATTACCTGTACTTGTTCTTTAATGCTGAAGACATTCTACTACTACTCATTCAAGTGTCTTCCTTAGTTCAAATAAGTGGTGGTGGTGGTGGGGGGTTGGGGGACGACACCAGCACTTTTAGCCATGTATGTATAAAATAGAACTGCGTGCTTTCATAAACTTTGTAACCTCCCCCCCATGTTGGACAATCAACATCTGCCTTAATATATCTCATGTGAAAAAACAAAAAAGACTATTCAAGAGCACTAGGTAATCATCTCAAGAGTTAAAAAAAAACCTTTATTGGCTTCCCAAATGGCACACAAGAAGATATACACAGCCAATCTGTTTCGGGGGTCAGGAATTCCCCTTCGTCAGGGATTAAACAATGGACAGTGGGACACCTAATGGACTCTGGACTCTAAACTTACAGCCTCTGCAGACAATCCTATTTCTCAGGCATAGGTGGAAATTATTGGTGTGAAAAGATAATTTGCAGCAGTTCACCATTTGTGCAATTGACTCTTGAGATGATTACCTGGGTTCTTTTTTAGTCTTCTTTCACGTGTATTTCTCATTCTGGGCATCCCCTCCCTCTGAAGGGTCCCCTGTTTTGTGAAGAGCTACTGGAACCGAGGAACCAGGCTCCTATTTCGACTACAGAAAGGTTGTGGTCCAGCACCTCATCCTCACTCACCTTTTAATACACTTTAGTGTCTCATGACACTAATACTGAATTGCTCATAAGTAAACTTTCTGAAATGCTTTTTAGCAGTGAGTATGTAGGCAAGGGATACACCACTGCCATGCTGCATCATCCCCCCACCCCTTCCTATGCAGACCATAAACAATTATTTATAAAAAGAGGTTTGGTTAAACCCACAATGTTTTTTTTTTTACTACTATGTTACTAGGGATGCACAGATACTTTTCGAGTACCAGTGCAGATACTTGGCATTTTCATGAGAACTACCAGGGTTACAGCGGTTGCAGCGGGGACCTGGCTCTGGCGCTCCACCACTGTCCTGAAATCATTAGTCTGTATTGTTTTAGAAAAACTGTCACATGACAATAAACAAAAATGTATCAGTACTCATACTTGTAAGTACTCGGCAAGTACCAGTGCTCGTACTCACAAAACTGGTATCTGTGCATCACTTTATTTATATTTATAAAAACTAAATCGTACATTAAAACAGAGACGTACAAATCCCAGGAGCTCCATGTGCTACTTACAAATGACAGCGGCCTCCTAATTTTTGAATTTTTCTCTAGTGTAGTCTTGGAGCTCAAAAGTATCGGTACCTGTACTCGTACTTGTACCGAGTACTGTACTTGGTATCTGTGCAACCCTATATGTTACCTTATTACCTTATTACTAGTTTTTCAAAGAACCAAAGCAACTATAGAGGTTGAATGAAAGGTTTAGTGCGCTGGAACAAAAATTAAATGATGCCATTTATTTTATAGAGGAGAAAACATCAGACCAATAAAATTAACAACTAAGGTGGAAGGAGAGGAAGATGGATTTGATTCCAAAACAGGGACTGTCCCTCCAAAAGCTATGCATTTAGATGAGTGGTGAAACAGCTTCAACATTACAGGACTAGTCCCGTTCGTGGTGAGATTCACTACTACTAGCTATTCCCTCACAGATTTTTCTACAACTTTGAAAATTTGCAAACTCATTTTAAAAAAGAAAGGCAACTTTTGGGTCTCCTGTATGTGTTTGATTTAAAACTTTCTGTATTTTCCTCCTAGTAGTAACAAATTCTCTTCATCTCTTCCTGTTGCTAGGATAGAACATGTAGATGATACACTGACTGACTGCCAGGAGGGAAACACAGACTGTTCATCAGTTAGATCATTTATATATGAAGCTTTTAATGACAATTCTTTGGAAATGAAAACCATGGGATTGACTTACTAAAGGAGTGAACTGTGTCCATTTTGCAAAGTAAATTTTCTCTTAGCTTACTGAATGTGGTGAAAATTCACTTTGCAAAGAATACATTACCCAAAAATTAAAATAGGATTTTTGATTGCTTGGGATTGAATGATCTTATGTCGGCAGTTCTTCACCTCATTCACTAAGGGTATATTCCCTTGCATAGTGAAAATTCACTATGCTAAGTGAACAGCCTATACCCCCTTCATCATATAAACCCCATATTTCTTGCATGAAACAGTCCAAAAATGTAGGATCTTGTATTAGACCAGTATTTATACTTTATATATTGCAGAAGCTGAGTAAACACCTACCAGAGGGCAAGCAGTGGAAACCAGTGGTCACTTGAGCGGTTTTGACTGGTGAACATTCTTTGATACAGCGCAAGACAGGATGAACAGAGTAACACTTGGACTTTTCACCATAGATTTCTTTCTCGAGCTTCACAAGAGTCTGCTGAACGTTGCAACCTTAGGAGATTAAATGAAGCAATGGGAGAATTACATTAGTGGGAAATGTTTCTTTGTCCTTTCCTCTAGCAGAGATGGTTGAATGAATAAATAAAATTAGAAAAACACAGACTGCTCTCCAACTTCATTTTATTGTTTTTATTGCTTGTGCAGCTCTGTAATTAGCCCCAATGGTTATGATACCTTCCCTAAACCAACCCCTAACTCCCCTGTCAATGTTTGACACCCATTGAGCATTTTCTTGATCTTATTTTTCTTTTGCAGAATCTCTCTGATTTTCCTTGTCCTTGATTATTAAAAAACATGTTTATCCCTACTGTGTATCTTTGACCATGAAAATAATAGTTATTTACGGGGCATTATTCTTTTGAAGAAGCTTTACTGTTGATTAACATAATCCAGGGGCAGAACTATTGATGACCATATAAAAAATCTGTAATGGAGATGGTTATCAGAGAGGTCACTAGGGATGGTGCTATGTGTGGGGAACACTTTGAGAATTTTGCTATGGGGCCCTGGGAGCTGTAATTATGCCCCTGAAGTGGGATTGTGTAAAATGTGATGGTTAATTCTGCAACTTTGTGTTGATCCACTGCCAGGATCATCTGTAGTGTTAGATTTCAGGTTGGTTACTGACTATACAAGCTTTGCACCATCACAGAGTAGGTTTTCTATGAGTACCTTCAGCGCAGGATTGAGAAGGAAGGATCCAAGAATGAATATGGCTAGTTTCGTCCTTGGCAACAGTTCCATCAGGTCTTCGGAACTCTTGAAATGTCTCATCATCATTATGGCCGCATACACCACATAACTGGCCTTTCATGGCAAGAGTTGGTTTCATCTGGTATGATAGACATACAAATAAGTTGGAGATGATATATTTTTGCATTACTCCATATTTTTCTCCCTTCCTGGAATGCTTTCATAGTCCGGCTAAGTTTATTGCATATGAGCTATTAAAGAGACACAGTTTGAGCTAATAAGCCCAAAAGCAGTAAAAGATACATTAGCTGAATACCTGAACATTTTCTCCATCATACAGAAGGCTCTCAATACCGTACTCTGGTGCTATCAGGGATAAACCTGTTTCCGTCCTATAAATTTCCACTGTTGGTTCTGTTGAGGCAACAAACATTTTAGATCCACATTTTAGCACACTCCACCTCACACATCTTTTTTATTTAAAAAAAAGAGCACATACCACCAAAGGATTTGTATGGGAGCTGCTCCATAGTAATAATGTTGTTATTGATGGTCATTTCTGGAGAACCAGACTTCCTGGACATGTTAATGTCACTATGAAAAACAGAAAGTGGACTTTTAGCCACAGTTTCTTATATTGCTTTGTCATATTAATTGTGCAATGGTATGATATAGCATTATGTATTTTTGGTAAGTGTGTTAGTCGTTTCTGACAACAGCATTGTTGACGCTAGAGGGTGTTGATCCTCTTCTTGGAAACATGCCTACAAATGTAATTATCAATAATGTTGTATATTATAGCAGTAGTCGGCACACACTGATTATGTACTCACTAGTGGCCAAGTTTGATGTTAATGTCTTTCCTTTTAGGGTGATCCTTGGATTTCTTCGCCATCACCATGAACTTTAGCTCATCACTGCAGTCTTGGGCCATGATGTGGTAGCAGCTCTCAGGCAGTTCCTGAGCCAGGTTCACTCCATTGAAGGTTGTGATTTGGTTTTCGGACACCGTACATTCTCCTGTCAAAAAGTGAATTAGATCAGCATGTAAAAAGAGCACCAGGGTAGTTACTATTTCTATTCTGTACAATCTTTTAACTATCATCCAACCTTGCAAAGACTCCTTAAGGATCTGGGGTGCTTCAGCAAAAATGTTCCATGTTGGGGCCTGTAGGACCTCGCTCTGTGAAATGTGTCGGGCTGCAATTGGCAGTGGGAGTCTGATAGCAGTGTAGTACAGGGTCATCTGTAACAAGCCAATAATGACATAGAAGCTGGTTACTATGCAATAACATTATGTCACAGGTAAAGCAGTAAATAAAATGTCTATAATATAAAAGGATTTATCACTCTAATCATAGGTTGACTACAGGCCATGCGGGTAGACCCTAATACATGACTCCTTCCACCTCTTTGAATTAGCCTTACATCTTTAGTCACCCACATCTTTAATTTCCTGTATGTCTTTAATCATAGGGGCATTCAAACATAGTGGAATTGTTTTACGGCAAATAGGCTTTTCACCTTGCATGGGAGTTTTCCCCTTAGCTTAGTGTATAAGGTGAAGCTCTGCTAACTTCCATCATCCAATTATGTCCAAGCAAAACATTTTTTTTTTATTTTCCTTGCACATGATTGGGTATTCTTTGCAAACTGAATTTTCACTACATTCACTGAGTTAAGGGAAAAATTTGCTTGCAAAGTGAAATTTCTCTTTGTCTTTAGTAAACTAGCCCCAGTGACTTAGACTTTAGGGGTTCAAGGTGTGTACTCCAGGTTTCCTGTCACTTCTGAGACTGGCAATTTCTACAGCTATACCACCTACTAATAACTAATTAGGTAGCTAGGTAGATATTCATGGGCAATTGTTGTTTGAGGTACAAGGAGAGGGTCATTTTGTGATATACAACAATTACCACCATTCGCCTCTTGCTGCGGTCACAACTGTAAAGTTTTGGATCCCTTGTACCTCAGGTACAATGGTCCCCATCACAAACAGAGAACATTGTACTCATAAAATGGCAAGTGTAATACACACAAGACTGATGTAGGTTCAGAATATAAACAGGAAGCCCCAGACTGATGGTGGTCATGGAAAGACTAAAGTCTTGCATCTGTATGCCAAAAAAAATATTATTGAAATATTTACCCTTGGAAGCTGGACAAGAGCATCAAGAGTGCGTGGAGAGCTGAGGGCCAGAATGGCTTTGACTTGATGCTGAGCGTTCTTCTTGTACTTCTCAGAGAATCCTAACATGTAAGCAGCTCCTGGGATATAGTCAGCCATGCTGAAACACAGAAAGAACATTTAACGCCATATGCAGCTTTTGTAGAGATTTTTTAAATAAAAATATACGGCAACCAGGAAAGCATAAATGGAAAGTGCTGACCTGTAATTACAAACCTCAAGGGCTATAGGAAAGAATGCCATGGAAAATTAACTAAACATCCTACTGCACCATTTAAAAGAATCCACCTTTTCTCTAATCTTTAGGTATTTACCGACTCTTTTAGTCTTCAAAAACACCTTCAAGATGGCATCTTTTTAGTAGGCCATATGACCTTGAGCCCTAACATTTCGCTCCCACCAATTGATTTTTCTAATTTCGGTACCATTATCTAGTCACTGCTGCCAAAATTCCTCTACAGTTTGTGTTTGTCTCTTTTGCTTTTATATTGAAGGTCTATGTTTAGACGCCTTTATACCAAGAATAACTTACTATCCAGCAGCAGACTTCAGCTTGGATGGAGCCTTGGGCCAGGCAACAGTCACTTTCAGAGCTGGCTGATTTCCCAAATGACCAGTTTGAGCTTTTGCAATGATCTTGTAATCTTGACAGTTCTGTCCCCACTTCAAACTGGCCTGAGTGATTAAAAAAAACAAAAACCCGTTGTTTTAATGTAAGACATGGAAATCTGAATGACTTTATATTTTTGTACACAGAGCAGAGACATGTCTTGACCTACCTCAGCTTCATGAGCATTCATCATTTCAGTGTTAAGGCAAGCTCTCCATCTGCTTGCCTTGGTGAAGTCTACAATGAAGGCCTGCAGGCGGGGTTTGGCATTAGAATAGTCTGCATAGACAATCAGCTGGTATCCTTGGCGTGAGTTGTCATTTCTGATAGCCCTCACAGTCACAACCAGTGCTGGAGGATTGCTGTCTCCCATAAATTTGCCCTAAGCAGAGTTAGAAAACAAAAGGGCCGGATGTAAGAAGTATCATGCCAACTGGAGATTAGTTTAGCATCTCTGCACATCATGCCTACCTTGTGTGGTGCACTGATGGAACTAGACGATGAAGAGCTTGAGGATGAAGAAGATGATTGTTGTTTGCTGGCCGTCTAGAGAATGAACAAGTGCCGTATTTTATTTTATTCATGCTTGTAATAGGATACAACTATAATTTTATATTTGCCTAGCCCCCATTAGCCTGTAAAAAATGTTCAATGCAGTCTTCTTATACAGTAAGGTAGCAGCATGTATTACTTTAATTACAAACTCTAACAAAACCATTTTTCTTATATTTAAGGTAGTGGGTGTGGCCATGCAGACCATTCCTTTGTGCCCCTGTGCTGACTGTGCATCCAGAACTGCTGATTTACAGCCTAGAGCCTGCCTAGTATTATTTTGGGGATTTGTGATGGATGTGAGAGAACTGTTTTAAGAAGGCTTAACAGTGTGGGTTTGGTGGGGGTATATTTGGTTCCTTTTAGCCCATGTCGCCATAACCTGTTTGGTTATCACTGAAAAAGCTGACATTTTGAGAGATGTTACTCATATATACAATATTGGAAAGGGAAATGTGGTCATGATAGCCTAGCTAAAAAAATAGTACCAAGAAGCTTTAAAGTTTGAATTCGGTTGAGTTGACATGGTTTTTACAGAATTACTGTTTTCTTTTGCACTTTTTGTGGAATGGCATAATCCTGCTACAACATAATACTCCCAAATGATAATACTTTTAAAGCACCCTTAATTTCCATAACCCAGTATGACCGCTCCTTCATAGCAGCACAAGAGAAAATGGCGGGTGCATACCGGCCGACCTTTGCACAGTCACAATACGTATTGTACTCCTTTTTTCTCTTGTGTGCCATATTTTTTTTTGCCAATGGCACCCTCAGTAAATACTTGTGGTTAAAAACAAAGCACCTTCAACAAGGCATACTTACTTGCCCTCTGACTGGCTTGAAGCGAAGGTTGTAAAAGTTTCTTTGTCTCTGTAAAGAGAACATAAAATAGTTATTTATATTAACTAACAAAATCAGAATGTAAATGATAATACTTACACAGTTTTTTGTATTTGGCCTTGATACTACTGTCAGTAGGATTTTTTTTAGCCAGGTGCATAACTAGAAATTACAATAGTATCATTTTGATGGACCCTTATCAGCAGCAGGTTGTCTTTAGTGCCGTTCAATTTACAAAAGCAAGCACCTATATTGTACCCCTATAGAGGTCCTACTGCTGAACACTTGCAAGCAATGCTTGCTGCACACTTGCAATTTGTAGCCAGACAATTAGAATTAGGTGCAAGGTGGCTTCCCAGAGATGTAGCTTCCATATCTTGAGTCACAGTGCTGTATACCATAGCAGAGGAGCTTTACAGTTAGTTGAAATTAAAATGGTTCAGGCAGTTGGATCATGTGCCATCAATATGTAAAAAAGTTGACACATCACAACCCTAAGAGCCAGCAGTTATATAATCCTATTTATATGGTGACTGGGTCCTCTCTTACCCACTGGGACCTCATCGAAGTTGTATGAGCTGCTATGGCTGTTGTTGTGTTTTTATGGTTGGCATAATCTAGATGAGTATTCTAAGCATCTTGTATGTATTACAGGTACCACACAGATATATTGCCATTATTGATACCTTTCCATGTTGGCTGCTACTGCTGCTGCTGCTGCTGCTACTGCTGCTGCCGATGCCGCTGCTACTGCTGCTGCTGCTCTGCTTGCCAGGGAGATGTTTTTGCTGGTCATTTTGTTGTCTGTTCTTGCTGTTTCTTCTGGAGCTGCTGCTGCTACTGCTGCTGCTACTACTACTACTGCTGCTGCTACTGCTGCTGCTGCTTGATTTAGGTTTTACAGCCTTTCTGTTGCTTGAGTTGCTGCTGCTACTTGAGCTGCTACTACTACGTGAGCTGCTGCTACTGCTTGAGCTGCTACTGCTGGAGCTGGCTCTCTTATTGGGACCCCTTTGCTGCTGGTCCTGTGCTGGTTTGTTCCTGTGGGTCCGCCTGCTGCTACTACTACTACTGCTGCTGCTTGGACTCTTGGAGGAAGAAGAAGAAGAAGAAGAAGAAGAAGAGGATGAAGAACTTGAAGACTGAGGTGTTTGTTTACGGACAAGTTTTGTGTCGTCGTCTTCTGCTGCAATCTGTTTGTGACCTTGTTGTTTTTTGGAGCGTTTTGAATTCTTCTTTTGGGATAGGGTTATATTGGTGGCCTGCAGTTAAACAAGAAACCATTTGTAAAGAAGAACACAAAAACCAGAGCTATGCCATTTTCTCAAAAAAAAACAAAACACTTACAGTAACATCTTTTAATCCAAGGATAACCTTCAGCTTGTTATGTATCTCAGATTGCTCGATCTGCTCAGCCTCATGCTCCGTTACATCAAATAGGGCAATTACTTTGGAAGCTGCTTTGGATCCAGCAGTGATCTCAACCTGGATTTTCTCAATAGTGGCATCTGTGTGTGCTGCAGACATGGTGACACCAGTCACAGAACTGTACAGAAATTTCACCTCCATGCAACAAGTATGCTACAGAGCCTACATGGGATTCTTACCTGGTTTCATTGTGAACTTAATCTCATGACTGCCCACCACTTCATAGAACAAGGAATGTCTCCGGCCGGCTGCATTTTTAGACCGGCGGTTGATGCACATTTGGATTGGGAGTATGGGAATTTTCATACAGCGGTGGTAGCGTGTAGGTAGTGCATTGTAGTGCACACTGGCAAGACCCAGATATTTCTTGTTTCCAACCTCCGATGAAGCTTCCTAAAAATAAATGAGAATAACATGGTGAGATAATTGAAAACCCAGTTGATTTGTCACTTCCTATGGTATATAAAGTTCCTTGTTTGGTTACCATCATGCTAGCTCCTTCAGCAGATGTCCTCTCTGTTGATTCGAAGCGCTTCTTCAGAATGTCCTGGCTGGCTGATTTTGGCACGAGCTCTGTCTTCCTAACTGCATCCAAGTCTTCAACATTTCTTGAGACAGCAAATGTTTGGGCACTGAAAAAAATTTATTGAAACAAGGTCAAGCCCAAGCTTACAGACACCATGCTGGAATGAGCAAAGCCTTTAGCAGCTTATAGCTTCCCCTTTAAGCCAAAAGCCTATTCTTACCCCCAAGAAGCTGCCTGTATCATAGACCTAACATTCTATACCTGGCCAGCAATTTTACGTGCTGGACACTCTTATATATTGATGTCGCCAACTATAGCCTTACTGGAGACTGTATTAATTAGTAATGGGCAAGAGAAAAATTCCACAGTTAAATCAAAAATACCTTATATAAATAAGATCAGTTTCTTGCTGGCATGGCTGTGATTCAATCTTAATATTATTTTCCTTTAAGTTTGCAAAAGCATTTATTTTTGCCGGGATGTTCACAAGGGCTTTGCCATGGAACTCCAAACCATGCTGGAACAATGGCGTGTTTATTCCCATGGTGGCTATCACATGAACTAATGCACTGTTGGAAACAAAAAGGACATGGTGTGTTAAGGGATCATCAATCTGCGAGCCATAGTGTTGCTTTTCTCACAACTTAATTGGCAAATAAACAACGTACAATGTTCACATTAAGTTCGTTATTACCTTGGATTGATGTCTGCATTGATCTGTACCTGGGACTCTAGCAGCTGAGCGACGCTAACATCTGGTGAGTAGGATGGGGTCATCTTAACACCAACTGCACAAAGGAATGAAATAACATATTCAAATGAATAAAGGACTGAATATGTAAAATAAATAGTCTATTGAATAATTTAAAAAGCACACAAAAAAACAAAGCTAAGAAAAAATTAACTAATCAATCAGTCAATAAAAAACAAACCAGAAAGCTTGAAGCAGTTGTGGCTATATGTAACCAAGATAAGAACATTATTAAAGTTGAACTCCAGGCATTTATAAAGGCAATATATTAATGCTACTCTGTATTAATGTATCATTGCATGTATTTATGTTTTACTTATTAAGTATTTATTAGTAGTATTTATATAAAGTATTTATTATTTATTTATTTATTCGTTTTATAATTTAAAAAAAAATGAAATAGGCACTTTAATGAAGAAAACTACAACATGAAAGAATACCAAAGAGCCAAGTTTACAGTTATCATATGTAAAGTGACAATATAAGGTGGAATTGTTGGTTTCTTCTAAATATGCATATAGGACCAAACAAATACAGACAGAATAACAAAATCAAAAAATAATAAACATGCTGTGTTGCATATATAACTAGATTATGCTTATCTAAGGAAAAATAACAGTGCCCTTGTTCTCCTATCTCCTATGAGTAGGTTCAGGGGATAATACATGTTTAATTACCCACTGTACATTTGTAATGCATTAGCTATTTGTTCCATTGCTTCCAAAACGTCTCCCATTTGCCATTATTTATCACAAATTGTATTCAGATTGAGTTTGTTTATTATGAGCATTTAGAAAAAAATTTGATATGTGTGAACATTTGTTTTTTATATGAGGGCACTTTTTTGTTTCCAGGCCAAGGCAATAGTTTTTTTTTGCTGCTATAAAAAATGTGTAAGAAATGTTTGAAATTTGTAAGGTCATTACTCTGTGCCTAGATGGAACAGTGCTAACGAAAGATCCGGTCAGGTAGTAGTTTAAGTAACAGAGCAAATGAGACTAAACACATATTCCAAGATTGGGATGGTTTTCCATTGGGATTATAGTCCGTTAAAGACTGAGAAAAGAGCCCTTTTTGCTGCATTCTGTCTAACACGTTGGAGGGGCATTGGGAAAAAAACATTGTTAACCCTTGCAATCCACTATACAGTGGGACTGAAAGAAGAAGGAACAGGACTGACAGCTGATCGTTGAGCTGCATGCAAATGTGTTGACAAGAAATATGTTGATTTGAGGAGAGCAGAGCAGGCAGAGAGATAACCACACAGAGCCGCTGCTTTTTTGCTGTCCTGTCAGCAGGCTCGATGTGAAATATACTTGCAACATTTCAGACACTCCTGGGTAATCTACCCACAAGTATCAATGCACAATTAATATTCAGCTTTGAGAAGACTGACCCTTTACCAAGGTACATGATAATTGATATATACAAAAATAAATCAGGTATACATACTGTTGACTGGGGCATTTCCCACAGCAGTGGTATACCAGCTGATCTCCATTGGCAAACCAACAGTGGTGGGTGTGATGTGGCGGGCCTCCACAGCCACTATTGCACGGGCGAACTGGCCCATCAAGCCATTCAAAAGCTTGTTGATGATGTTCTTGATGGTAGCGTGCCTTTCTGCTGGCTCGTTCAGTGCCTACATGGAATTAAACAAAAAAATTTATGTGAAAAGAGACAATAGGCAAAAATATATCTAGCTTTCGTATTTCTGAACCTGTAGGAGTTCTTACCCGAGTTATAGACTGGATGGTGGCTTTGTTGAGATTACTGAATGACATCTCCTGACCAAAGACCTTGATGTACATAGAGAACAATGGGCTCTGGGAAGGTTGTGCTTTGAATCCCTTTAACTGTCCAAAAAATACAAAAGTGCTTATTGATATTATGTGAATAATTTTTTGCAAGCATGGAGCAAGAAAGAAGATACAAAACCCTTAGTTGGTGGACACTGTCTGCATGGAATTTGTATGTTCTTAATATGTTTGTGTTGGTTTCCTTTAGATGCTCTGGTTTACTGCTACAAATATATTTATGTAATCATCAGATTTCAACCAAGGTGGCTTTGTGGTTATATCAATGTGGTAGGGGCCACTACTGTAAAACTAGAGTATTGCTGCTACAGGTCCCATGTGGTTAGGAGTACCAATCTTAGATGCTCCTCCCCCCTTCTTCCCAATCTCCACTTGGCATATGGGAAAATAAAGATATCAATAAAAATTATTAAAATCAATTTTCTTCTTCATTTTTTTTTACAAATTAGCTCCTTTAATGCTCTTTTTTTTTTACAAATTAGCACCTTGAATGCTGAAAGGGACACTTGAAAATTTTTGTTTAAGACATGGAAGGGGTGCAGGTTAAATTTTTGACTAGGGCTTTAGAGTTCAAGCTACATAAAAAAAAGACAGTAAATCAATCTCACCAACTTCACAATCTGGCTGATCTTCTTACGCATTGGCAATTCACCAAATTGAACATCTTGCCGTCTCAGGAGCTGAGTAAGTCCTTCAGCTCTTACACCAACCTATGCAACATAGAAAACATTTTTTTTTAAATGTAATTTGCAAATATATTCATTTTTTTTTTATGTTCACAAAATTTCACATCTCCCTTTCTTTATCTTGGATATCATTATTTACGTATATGCGATTCATACATGCTATTTCTCTCTAGTAGATTTCATTTTTCATCACACGAAAGTATTATATTTTGCCTCCATTGACGCTCATGAGTGGCTATCGCATCCTCATTACGTAATATTCATATTTGATAAACAAAGTATTGAATAAACATTTTGCTATACCTCTACTACATCAACCTCTGAACCGCCAATGTAAGCCCGCATTTTTCCAAGCACAAATACAGGGGACAGAGTATTTGGACTGTTCATGATGTAGACCTTTGCAGCAGCTCCAGACATGAGAGAATCTATCAAGGAAAGAACCATTTTAGGATTCTGAGCAATTATTATGTATTAGTACTGACTGCTTACTCTTATACTTACATTTGAATGTGTCCATACGAATGACTTTGCTGAAACGCCATCCCAGATTATCAATGTTTGGATTGAAGAGCTTCAGGGCGATATTGCAAGCAGCAGCCCTAGTAGAAAGATGTCTGATTAGTTATAAATTGTCAACCCTGATAAATATCTTTGATGTAGAAATCTAAGGCCATATACCAACATGCATTTCCTTATTGACACTGAAAACCCTTATACAGTTGTTGATTTTTTGGTACTTACAGAGGTTCTAGTTGGGGAACGCTGCTCTTGGCCAAGGCTTTCATTTGAGAATAGACGAAGCTGGCAAGCTGTAGGTTAACTTTGCTTGCTCTGACAGCCACATTGGCAATGTTGGTGACCATAGCAGGGCCGGGTTTGGTCTCGAATAAGGCCAAACAAGCCATCATCCTCACTTCAGTGTGAACCTCGCGATCCATGTAGACTTGCATAAGAACTTCTTGCACCTAAAAATATAGTTTACCACATGGGTTATGGTGTGAAGGGAAAAAAGGAACCAAAAAGCCCCCCAACCTAATCAGTGCATAGCGCGATATAGTCTTCTTAAAAGAGAAGGTATTCGCATGTCTTATTCCATCACATGTACAACAAAAAGTGGATTATTTGAGATCTTAGCAAAGATTTATGTAATGGCAAGCCTTAAAATACATTTTGGAATACAGAATAATCCACAGGATGGCCCTCACTCACTTTACGTGGATCCCATCTGGCGAGGTTCCTTAAAGCCATGACTGCATCAACCTTGACCCTGATTGGAAGCTGAGCAGCGCTGGAAGAAAAGCCTGGCAAGAACTTTAGGATACGTTTGAGGCTTTGGAGCTGACCGGCATTACCAAGAGCTTTCAGAGCCAAAGTCATGTCCTCTTCATGGACCTTGCTGAGGGCATCAGCAGCCAAATCATGAAGGGGCTAAAAGAGCAAAAACAGCTTTGTAATAATAGCAAGAGCAATGTAACACCACTTTGCTATATTGGAGACCTAGTGGCTGAGTCTCTAAGGCTTTCCCAGTCCTGCTATAGAATACAGCCATGACCCAAGCCAGTTGTCAAACTCTGAACATGTAGATTATCTTTATGTACTTTGTATGTCACTGTATTTAATTAACAGAGTGGTAGCTGAAAATTACTTATATATAAATGGATGTGAAAGATCTTGTAACTAGTGCATTTCATAAAGGCACCCCTCTGAAACAAGTGGGTGCATATGAATCAGTGCATACTACTTGATATACATCTGGCTCCCTGCACTGATCCACATTAGTTGACTTACACTTTCCATATATACCAGCCAATATTTTATGAATGTGCCTAATCTGTGGCCCTGTAGAAACACTCTCTCTACTTGTGGAGCCTTCTACCAGTATATGCAGTAGGCTTCACTGTTATGATAAAATAAAAGCACAGAACGCCCCAAAATGTGCAGGATCGTTTTTTTTAAAGAATAAAGAACAATAAAAACATACTCACAAAAGTGCCATGGTAAGCGCTTATAGAACTCAATCAGATCCGAGTATACTATAAACGCTTACTACTTGCGTTTTTATTGTTCTTTATTCTTTAATAAAATGATCTCGCACATGTTGGGGCACTCTGTGCTTTTGTTTTAGAGTTCTTAGTGAAGGTTCCCTAGTCCTTGTAAAGGAGCAGCACAGTGTGTGAAGATTGTTGTCCACCTTTGGGATGGCCAATCCATCAGCTGTCACTAGTGCTGGGTCTCAAATGGTTGTTCCCTGTTACGATGTACATATGGACCAAGTGCAGGGACCCTAATGTCTACCACCTGTTAGTAGAAGCAGTAGTTTGCAATACTATCCATGTTACCGTATGACATGAGTTTGACTAAACTAAATGTGCTAACATAGTTTTAATCAAATGTGTGTATCAAAGATAAAACTTATCTTTTCTCCATACAAAACACATTTTACTTTTTTAGTCAAGAATAACTTACCTCCAGAGCAGACTCGGGGCAAGTGGACAGGTGAAGACAGTATTTTTTGACCATTGAGCCATAGGCCAGGACTGTGTGTTTGTACAATGTTGGGTTTTTCTGGATTTTGGGGTCTTGGATTAGTTCCTGGGAAAAAAAAGCAAATTGACCAATGAGACACCTGAAAACTATAGAAGCATGTAGAAGGACCATTGTCAAGCTTGGTCATGTGGCACTGTTCAATATTCTATTATGCCACACATAGAGTGATATCTCTATTTCATAAATAACTACTAGCTGTAGATACTCAGATTATGAAAACTGATTGGATGATCTGAAATCAGAGTGAAAGTTATTAAGTGGCACAGGATATATGGACTGATCTGTATGCCATTAAAGGGAAATGCTATACTACAGCAACAACTACAAGCCTGGAATCTATTCAACTAGGTGGCAGCATGGAATTTAAAGACAGAATAAATGTTAACCCCGACAGCCATACGTACTTTGGAGATCTGCCAAGCCCGCTGGCTGCCTCTAGTAACATGCATTGCAATGGGAATCAATACAGCTGCTTCTATATCGGTGAGTTCCCCACTGTGAAAGATTTGCTGAGCAAACTTCAAGTTGTCTGCAGTTCCGGCCATGCGAAGACCTTGCAGGAACCAAGTTCTGCAGGAGAGAAAACAATTGACCATAGAAAATCATTATAGGCAAAGTCATTTAAGGCAGATTGAGGCAGCATTGCCGATCTAATTTTGTATCAGCACATAATATGCTAAAGTAATCGGCACCATAAGGTACCTGATCATTCTACTGCTGCAACACAAAGCCACCTTGCAGTGTTGCTGGGTCCTCTCAGATTAAATCACTTCAAAGGTATGGGAACAAAATGCAAAATACTGCCTTTTTTTATAAAGTTTGAATATATTTGTATACAGATCAGATGTGACTTTACTTGCTGTCCACTTGTGCAAACAGAATTTTGAGATGGAGATCAGTAAAGGCAGCCTCAAGATTTCTCTCTTCACGGATTTGCTTTAAAGCCAAATCTTTTTCACGTGCCTTACTTTTATTTTGTGCCTATTTTGGCTCCAGAGGTAGCACACATTTCTAAATTGGGCCAGCATACTGCAGAGAGGACCAATGTGTTCTGTGCGGGAGCAGTGGTCTCCCTGTAGTGGTCTGACATACCCACCTCTTAGAGAGTGTGATCTTTTCTCACTGCAGTGTTACTGGCCTAGCTCTAAAGAAAGGTGTGCCGGAGCACTTTGGGGAGACACAGCAGCTCCCACACTGAGCACAGGTGTCCTCTCTGCGGTATGCTGATGAGGCTTAGAACTTTGATATCCCTGGAGGTGTATTGGACAAACATAAAAGTAAGGCATGTGCAAAACACTGCTTTGCTGTACACTAAATTATCGCTAAAGACTGAAATTTCAATTAGGCTTGTTGTTTTTAAATATCTAACTCCTTAGCAGAAAGCTGCATTAGGTTGGCAAGTCTCAGCACTGACCTGTGCCTAGATAATGCAGAGTAATATGCATTAGGGCCATACCTGGAGAATATTGTGTATTATATTGTGTATTATATTGTGTAGAAAGTCTAGACAGGGACAGACAGGGACAGACATGGCAGAATAATGCTAAATTAGTTTAAAGTAACTGCTTCATGTTTAAGTGTTCTCTATTTGATAAGAAGCTACCTTTATCATGGAGGAAATTAGCAAAACAATGTCCTTGCACCTATCATGGTCCGAATGTTCCACTTGCCAGACCCTCTGAGAGAATGAAGTTCAATAAAAATGGGCACTCTTTTCTTTTCAGTAGACTAGGTGGAATTTAGGCACATCAGAAATAGAGCTTGGACCCATCTTCAGTTGTAAGCACTAGGAGCTATAACATGGTTTATAAGGAGCTTACTGACCTGTGTCTTGATTTTTGCGCAAATTGCTTCCATACGGTATGCAGAATCTCGGGAGAAGCATGGCGCAACAGCTGAACTAGTTGCATGAATTTCACTGAGACATCATGGTGCATCTCCCCCTGGTTGTATTGTACCATGTGTTGTATAGTTTGCTCAATCTGAGAGGAGTAAAACATAGAACTGGTCAGATTTATGAAGTGTATCAGGACATGAGCTATGGAAATAATGAGAATTTGGTTACATGATATACAATATTCTGTTACCTTTATTTAAAATTAATTTTCAAAAGGGCAATATCAGGTTTTAGCGCATTACCTGAGCTTCAAGGCTTTTAGTCTTTAGAAGAACAAATGGAATCTGGTATATTTCATCACCAAAGTTGTAGTGGAGATTTCCGCGGTTCTGGAACTGAATCTGAGGGGGGTTTGATTGGCTGCTTCTGGTTCCAGCCCAGGTCAGGACTTGCCTAAAAACAAAAAAACATTTAGACCGACATTCAGGGTCTATACATAAATAGCCAAAGAAAGGCTACTTTCATTGTCCAAAGTGTTATTCAAGGGCTTTCCAATTTTAGCATGAAAGACAAAAATACTGGCTATCAAATTGTTACGTATAGTCTTTTGTGAGTGGAGACAGTGTATTCCAGAGAGTTTCTCATGGCACAACCTTTATGATCTTGGAAAACCAACAAGAAATGGATTCCAAAACTGAGTCATATTAAACACACATCTAAGCACACCACCAGACTTGGAAATACTGTTAAAAATCTGATTGGCAAAGGCCTGAGTTGGAAGATCTCACAGTATGCCTCCATACTGGAGTGGTTTTCCAATTTCTTGTTGAAACTGAAAAGCTCTTCACATAGGGCCATGCAATTTGGATCTGGATTACACTGTTAAATGATGGGCCATAGAATTTGGATCTGGATTACACTGTTAAATGATGGTTATATCTGGTTAGCCTACCAAGCCTACCAAGCAGTGGCTTAACTATAGCCATAGCAGCCCAGATGGCTGCTATGGGGCCCACGGGGTGGAATGGGGCCCCATTAGGTTGTTAAGGCACATTAAACATATCATGTGAAGATAATACAGTACTATATCATTAAGGGTTGGAGTGGTTGCTGTTGACTCTAATCCCCTGTAAAGTCTACAGTATAGAGACGACTTCAGAGGAGTCTTTTTGCATAGTTTCTCAGAGCTCAGAAAGATGTCATCAGGGGAAACTCCAACACTTTTTGGCTATGGGGCCCTGTGATCTGTAGTTACAGCCCTGCTACCAAGCTGCGTAGTTTTTAAACAGATGTGAATCTTCAAGAATTTAATGGAAAACACTCACTTAGCTTCCATTACGGCACCACCATTACGTTCCTGTAATGGAGTATAGTATATGATCTGTTCTAAGACGACCTCCTGGATGATGTTGTTTTTCAACTTGATGGTGGATGTTGCAGTATTACGTACATTTCTGTGCATCTAGATGAAGGACAGGGGGGAAATCAATCATCAATAAAGGGGTTATTCATTTATTAAAAGAAATAGCTGAGAAAGAAAATGGGAAGCAAGGCAGAGTTGTTGACCATAGAGACCAATCAGCTTCCATCTTTTATATTTTGGGAACATGAAACAAGGAATCTAATTGGTCATCATGGACAGTAACCACACATCTAAATTTGGTTTAGATGCCTTAAGATTTTATATAGAAACAAACTGTACCCTTTGGCAAGGTTCGCAATGATCCATGAAAGCCATTCCAACGTTCTTGGATACTTTGTCTTGGCAGTTGTTGAAGTCTATGGATTTTACAACAAGCAGCTGGTCTCCCTGCTTCTGCTCTGGGATCACGTATCTGGTGTGGCAGACACCCCCAACGCTGGACTGTAATACATTATGAAGTAGAGAAGTGATTATTGAAAATTAAAAGCATGCTAACCTCAAACATTCTGTGTTCTTAATTGTGTCGGGATAAGTGCAGTGTATACACTACAAAGACTTTGATATTACCTCTTAGTTTTGTATCTCTAACACTGCTTTCTTTTATATTTTAACATTTGTACTCCCTAGCTGTTTAGGCCATGCCTACACATATGTACCATCCCATACTGAAAAAAAGGAAGACATATGGAGTTCCACACGAGCAGGACAACCTTACTAAATCCTTTGTAGACACCAGGCATCCTGAGACAGTACACCTTTCTGTTAATATTTATAATAGCCAACTACTCCAGTTGAATATGTAGAATTATATTCCCTCTCAAAAAGTCTCAAAGAATAGTCAAAAACTCTAAAACAAACACCAACCTCTTGCAGGTCATACACATTCTGGGACTTTTTGATGTTGGCATTGAACATGCTGAGAATTCCTTTATGCATGTTGAGAACAGTCTCTGACACATCGCTAGGGGCAAAGATGTTTCCAATGCGTCCGTTGTGATACTCAAACTTGATGGGTTTCACAAACTGGTCAGACATAGTCTGGCTCAGCTTAGAGGCGCGAGTGAATGGATCTTTGGGCCACGCACCTGTAACCTCTTTTACGTTAATAGACACAGCCTGAAAGAGAAAAATATCAGTGGTTTAGGTACTACTAAAATTTAATTAACAAGTCAACAACTATTACCATTAAAATAAGTCACCATTTGGTGGGCTTAATAGCTCCATGACGGTAACAATTCAGCTTTGAATATAAAACTCAGTACAAAGTAATGTCATGTGCCAGAAACATGATGGGATAATTACTCAAATCTTTTTTGTATGATCAGGCATGCCCATGAGGAAAAGCTGCTTGATGCAATGACCCAATGAGGTTACAATTTATAGGAAGGCCAACAAGAGTGAATTTTTTTTTGGGTAGCAGGGACAGAAAGATATATAGTTATAAAGTCAGAATTAGACAAATTCACTCTTCAAGACAATCTGGTCCATGTCTATCAGTGTGACCTAAGCTAGCATCCACAATGTCTCCTAAGTGCTTTGGATTAATGTGTCTTTATTACCTTCATTTGGTATGTCCTTTGACCATGGGGCCTGATCTCCAGCTTAGCGAATAAGTTAATTCCAGTTCGGCCAAAGTCATTTTCAGGAAGTCCGATCATGGTGTAGGTCTCATAGTCATACAGGGTTACTTTATTCTGGCTGAACCTAGGTTCTGAAAAATAAATTGTTTATTGATTGTTAGCTGAGAGCAGGACTTGACAGAACATTAACTACTCTTCTGCATACATTGTTAAGGCCAGGATGTAGGTGAAGGTTCTCAATTATGAAGGTCATGGTATAGCTAGAAATAGCTAATAACATTCAGCTGCACTTGTTCTGTTCTGACATTTTGCATGTATCCAAGAAGCTTCCATAGTTCTTGTGAAGTTCTTAGAACTGAGGAAGCTACTTGGAGGAGTAATGAAAAGTTATCAACATTAGAGGACAAGTCCAGTCAAATGTGATTAACTACTACTAGCTGATAGGACAGGGGTAGGACATTATGTGCAGAGCAATGTAAGCTAAAACAGCTGTGTTTTCCCGCTAGTGCGAGCACTAGTGCTAGGATGATTCCCCTCATGATGATGGTGAATACAGCACTAAGGACATCCCGGGGTATTTATAGTGGACGGTCTAGTAAACGAGCGTTGGACACACCATTTTTGGCAAGCTATGGTGTGCTTATCGCTTTTAGCTAGCCAACAATTTCATAAATGATTACCCTTGTAAAACAAATATGGGCACTGTCCTGTACATTTAATATTAAAGATACAGTAGAAAAACACATTTTAACATGTATACCAACACATATAGATAATATGCATCATTTCTAAATGCTGGTTTTTGTTTATTGCCATTTTATTTTAGGTTACTGTTTAATTACTCTTTTTTAGTGATAACATACAGGTTAAGTAAACTTTGTCCTGGTCACTGTGACATTTGGGCAGCACAACCAACAAATCACATTACCCATGTATCATCATCAGATCAAAGTATATGGACATGTATTTTATCCCACAGGGAGACCGATGGTATATTTCATTTACAGGCACCTTCTTATACTGTATTACATAATGTTATTCTGAAATATAATGAGTATCTAGGACTGTGGCAGTACAAAAGAAAAAATAACCCAATATATTTCTAAGTCATTTTAAAAGTAATTGTTAAAATCACTGTGGGATGTAGGAAGTTATTGTTTATTATATCATTGGTGGGGAAGACCATCTTGCACCAATGGATCTATTATGAACCACCCTTTCTAACTCCTTTCTTGAATAAGTTGATATTTGTATTTTAAAATGATTGGATTGACAACGCTCAATATGGATACACTCAGATCTATTCACAAAAGGGTGAAGAGCTTGGAGAAGGCAGGAGAAGTGAGCAATCTAGGACAACATAGCTGAACTGGAAAGGGAGCTGAATTGGAGAATTTTTTTTCCAAATCAGCTATGTTGTCCTAGATTGTTCACTTCTCCTGCCTTCTCCAAACTCTTCACCCTTTTGTGAATAGAACTGACTAACTCAGAACATTTTGAGGGCTGGGAATCTTTTATAGACTTATTACCGATTACTATAAAATGAATACTTAGGCAGTCTTCTGCCTTGACTCCATGGTATACTAAGGATGATATCTAATGACCTTCTGATTAATTGTAGCTGAATAGAAAGGTGTGTGGGGGGTTTCTCTTTTGAGGTTGGCTGCTTCTAAATGCTTTGCTTGATATGGTATGAGTCTGCCATTTTATTTATACAACCCCGATTCCATAAAAAAGTTGGGACGCTGTGTAAAATCTACATAAAAACAGAATGCAATGATTTGCAAATCTCATAATAGAAAATAGAAAACATATCAAATGTTTAAACTGAAAAAATGTACTATTGTAAGAAAACAAATAAGGTATTTTTTAAATTGATGGCAGCAACACATCTCCAAAAAGTTGGGACAGGGCAACAAAAAGTTTGCAATGTAAGTAGTAGTAAGAAGGAAGAGCTGGAAGAACATTTTGCAGCTAATTAAGTTAATAGGCAGTAACATGATTGGGTATAAAAAGAGCATCTTAGAGAGTCAGAGTGTCTCAGAAGTAAAGATGGGCAGAGGTTCAACAATCTGTGAAAAGCTGGGTCTAAAAATTGTCCAACAATTTCAGAATAATGTTCCTTAATGTAAAATTGCAGACTGTAAATATATCATCATCTACAATACATAATATTATCAAAAGATTCAGAGAATCTGGAGAAATCTCTGTGTGCAAGGGACAAGTCTGAAACGCAATATTGGTTGCCCGTTATCTTCTTCAGGCATGATTCCGTGATAGACGTCGCTGCATGGGCTCAGGAGTACTTTCAAAAATCACAAAACCACAAATGTTCCCCAGAAGGGGATCCTACCATTGTTACAAAGTGTAGAACAAGTTTATCGTAAAAAATTTGTTTATTTCTAAATAAATTTTAAAATAATACAGTGAGTGCAACATATTTTATTATTCAAACGAAGCTTTTTTTACTTTATTTTTCTCTACTTTTTCATTTTTCCATTTTTTTCATACACGTGTATGTTTACTCTTCGTGTTGATTTTAGGAGACTGACATTCTTTTTCCAATTTTGAAGCTTCAAATTTACGGATATGCTCCTGATACTAAATATCACGGTGAATAGGTACAAAAGCATCCCAGGGCGTACCTTATATCATTCTTATACATATATATATATCTATATCCATATGTATTTTCCTAGAAATTAGCCGAGAGCAGTAATATATGTGATGTTTATATGTTTGTTTGTTTTTTTGATACGTATGCATTTTAAAATTTATTTAGAAATAAACTAATTTTTTTACGATAAACTTGTTCTACACTTTGTAACATTTGTAATTTTGCTTTTAATCATAATAGGGGACCCACCGTGTAAATCACATTACATTTTTGCCATTAATCACATACTTTGAAAACCTCCTTTCCCCATTTGTATATCCTACTTTCAAAAATCACTGTCTGTAAACACAGTTCCCTGTGTCATCCAAAAATGCCAGTTAAAGCTCTATCACATAAAGAAGAAGCCATATCTGAACAAGATCCAGAAACGTCGCTGTCTTCTCTGGGCCAGAGCTCATATAAAATGGTCTGTTGCAAAATGGAAAACTGTTCTGTAGTCAGATGCATCGAAATTTGACATTCTTTTTGGCAACCATGGGTGCCGCCTCCTTCAGACTAAAGAGGTGAGGGACCTCCCGGCTTGTTATTAGTGCTCAGTTCAAAAGCCTGCATCTCTGATGGTAAGGGGGTGCATTAGTGTATATGGAATGAGCAGCTTGCACATCTGGGAAGGCGCCATCAATGCTGAAAGATATATCCGGGTTTTAGAGCAGCATATGCTCCCATCCAGATGACGTCTGTTTCAGGTAAGGCCTTTCAGCAGGACAATGCTAAACCACATCTATGACAACAGCATGGCTTCGTAGTAGAAGAGTCTGTCTGCTTATCAGGCCTGCCTGCAGTCCAAACCTTTCATCAATTGAAAATATTTGGCGCATTTTCTTGAAATGAAAAATATGACAAAGACGACCCAGGACTGTTGAGCAGTAAGAATCCTCTATCAGGCAAGAATGGGACAACATTCCTCTCCCAAAACTCCAGCAACTGGTCTCCTCAGTTCCCAGACATTTACAGAGTGTTGTTGAAAGAAGAGGGGATGCTACACTGTGATAAACATGGCCCTGTCCCAACTTTTTTGAGCCATGTTGCTGCCACCAATTTCATAACTACCTTATTTTTTGGTACATTTTCTCAGTTTAAACATTGGATATGTTTTCTATTTTCTATTGTGAATAAAATTTGTGTTTATGAGATTTGCAAATAATTTCATTCTGTTTTTATGTAGATTGTACACAGCATCCCAACTTTTTGGGAATTGGGGCTGTATATGTGGTAAAATTTGGAGTATAAGTCTGTGTCCTGTTTGTGTATTTGTTAGATGTTATGTTTTGTTATTTTATTCTTTTGGTCTTCAATAAAAAGGAATGGAAGAAAAAAGAAAGAAAAGGGAAAAGACAAAAGAGGGAAAAAAAAGCATTGGCTTGATTTTTAAGGAAACTTGTACTGAGGTATTTATCGAGGTTGTGACATAGGGGTCTATTCAGGAAGCTGCCGAAGGATCTAGCCTAGCTTCGGCCAATCCTTCGGCTAACTTCGGCCCCAGGACCCCTTTGGTTCAGTAGAGCCGAAGGTCTGCTGTACAGGCTATTCACAATAGCCCGTACAGCTCCCGAACGTGGCCGAGCTGAACGCATATGCCTCGGCTCGGCTGAGCCACGCTGAAAGCCGAAGCTGGCCAAGCGGCCGGCCGACAGCCTGCTTCTGACAGCTGGGCGGAGCCAGCCGTGATGTTACGGCTTGGCAGCTGAGCCGCCGGACAATAGAAAACTATTGGGCGGAGCTAGCTGTCACTGCAACAGTGTTCGGCTCACTTCAATTCACGTCGGTCACTCACTCGGCTGCCTACGGCAGCTTAGTGAATAGACCCCATAGTTACATAGTTAGTCAGGTTGAAAAAAGACACAAGTCCATCGAGTTCAACCTATAGAGATAATTACTGAAATGTTTTTTTGAAAATGTTATCTGCCTGGCTGCAATGATGATCCAGTATTATCCTTACTTTCTAAAACACTGAGGCAGTACAATTTTGTTTATCAGGATTTTTTACTTCAGTGTGACTTTGCTTGCTGCATGCCTGTTCCCGCGTCTGTGGCTAAGAAAAGTGATCAGTCTGCTGAGTCAGCATAACTATCAGATAACTAGCATATTCACGAAGATGTCAGTAATGGTAATGTGAGTATTTTTTCTCCCCACAGATTTCCTTTAACAATTTACTGACTTTACACAACTGTTGTGTTTTATCGAGTCATCTGTCAGTTTAGAAATGTCATCTTTTTCATATTTCTAACTTGCTTTGGATCCGTTGACCCAACGGATTTGGTGTGAATGGGGCCTAAATCTAAATTCAATAATACTTGCAAATTGTAGAAAAAATAAATAATATGCCTTAAAAAAAATAGTTTCTGAAAAATTTCAATAAAACTTATGTAACAGGACGTGTATACACGCCCAGTTACATCCAAGAAGCTCCCGGCAGGCCGTGTATACACAGCGGCTGGCCCGGGAGGTAGTTAAAGTGACATTAAAGTCAAACATTGTTTTCCCTCCCCCAATGTTAATGTCAGCACTTACCTTAAATGAGGTTTCTTAATCCGATCTTCCTCTTCTTTCCTGATGTTTTCATCTGTCCCTCCAGCGGTGAGGCGGCTCTCCAATCCAGCGCTGACTCCTCCGTCCTTGCTGGCACTTCCGATCCCACGGTGTCTGCATGCGGGTGCATGCGTCCATAGACTTACCTTACGTCTCTGCTCGTCTCCGGTCCGAAAATCCGAACTGCGCATGCGCCCGCCCCAAGATACTTTGTGGCCACCTGAGCAGTTTCGGATTCTCGGGCGGGAGCGCGTGACGAAAACAGGGTAAGTTTAAACCGTTGTTAAAGCGTTTTTTTTTTTTACTTTTTGCCTATATCTACTGCTTGCTAGC